GTGTGTGTGTGTGTGTGTGTGTGTGTGTGTGTGTGTGTGTGTGTGTGTGTGTGTGTGTGTGTGTGTGTGTGTGAGTGTGAGTGTGTGGGACAGCGGCGCTGACGCAGGAGCTGAACGGCCCTCTTCATTAACCTTTCTAACACCTGTGTAAGCGTTGAGCAGCGTATTATTTTCTCTCTCAGAGATGCTCATACTAACTAATGGAGCCGCTGGATTCAGTCACAGAGCCAGAGGAAGCTTTATTTTTCACAATATCAAGCAACGAAATGAGTTTCTTCAACTATGGCCACTTTTGGCCCTGTGGACTTTTGGGAATTAAATTCCTTTAGAAGAAACTTTCCAAACTCACTGGCTTATTTTCTCTAATAATGTGAGCATAAATGCATCGCTGGAGAAATCTGACATTTTTCCTCTGGACCGTCATGAAGAAATGTAATTTCCTCAACCGCATCCATCACATTAAATACGCTATGTTATATACCTCTGAATATGTTACATTGTATACAGTACATCTGTACTACTACTCTTGCATAGTTTGCCAAAAAGACGTAACTTCACATAAAGCTTTATTAGAAAATAAATTAATAATTACAATAAATTATTATCTTAACACATCATTTACACACAAATACATATTAAAATGTTTTTTTGTATCTATTTATTGTCTACGTTGTACATTATATCATTTATTTTAAACATATGTTCACGCTTCTTGCATGGCCCTGGTTCACACTACTGCTATAGTCACCACGGATGGCAAGCGCCCACAATAATAAAAAAAATGGCACACAAAATAACAAAAAAAATGAAAGTAAATAAAATTAAATAAATAGCTGAAATGATTCACTGTATTCCAAGTCTTTCTAAAGTCCTGAGAGTCTGAAAATCGTCTCGACCGCAGAAGAAATCTCAAGTGAATATTCAAACTTGAACCAGTGACATTTGCTGTCGTGGATGTCGAGCTTGGTGTGAAGGCAAAATCTTCAGAGAATAATCTTCAGCTTCGTACTATTGCCCCACACTTGGCTACATAGCTTTAGAATGTATAAAGACTTTGAACATTCTGCACAAATTATATGCATTGTTAACCTTAATTATACTTTACACTCTTAAAAATAAAGCTGCTTCACGATGCCATAGAAGAACCTTTTTGTCTAAATGGTTCCATAAAGAACCTTTAACATCTGAAGAACCTTTCTGTTTCACAAAAGCTTCTTTGTGGCGAAAGAAGGTTCTTCAGATTATAAAAAGGTAAGAAAGAGATTTGACTTTGACTGAATGGTTCTTTGTGGAACCAAAAATGGTTCTTCTATGGCATCGCTTGAAGAACCTTTTGAAGCACCTTTATTTTTAAGAGTGTTGATGGTGGAACAGAGCAGCATGAACATTCTTCTAAATTTCTCCTTTAGTGTTTTACAAAAGAAAAGTGAACAGATGACAGAATCGTACCTATTTCTTTGCGTGGATATCTATTGTAATGTAATGAGTGAAATTAATAGTGAAAGTAGAGTTAAGGAGTAAGATCCAAATTAAAATGCATTTGTAGCAAAACAAATGAAAACTAATGTAAAACGGTACTGTTTTAGTGTGTTTTTTATTATTTTCATAAAAGCATCCCCTGGGACATGGAAGTGCTCACTGTATGATTATAATACCCATACAATGGTTTTTCAAAGTTCATAAAACAAACAAACAAACAAATAAATAAATCAGATTTTTTTTTGGAGTATGCTTTGCATGAAAATACAGTCTTTCAGTGTTTTTGGATTTTCTGCAATTTCTGAGTGAAAATGATTTCAAATTGAATCTTGCACCACTTTATTCAGTGCATGCATTATGTAAATGTTGCATTGTCTAGCGAAAGTGTTACGGCACTGTCTTATTGAGCTGAAATACGAGAGTATCGACGTTTCTGATATGTTAAAGCACAGTGAAGGATTGTCATCCAAATCACATTTCATTCTCCTCCATACTCTGCGTTTATCACTTTTCTTTTAAATATGTAATGGATCACTGAAAGCAGCCCAAACGTGTAACGCTGACTCAGCAACACATTTCTAACATACACCACCACTCAAAAGTTTTTGAACAGTAAGATTTTTAATATACGTTTAAAGAAGTCTCTTCTGCTCAGCAAGCCTGCATTTATTTGATTCAAAGTACAGCAAAAACTTCCAAAAAATGTTGAAGTATTTTTACTATTTAAAATAACTCTTTTCTATTTGAATATATTTTTAAATGTCATTTATTCTCGTGATTTCAAAGCTGGATTATATTCCAGGCACATGATCCTTCAGAAATCATTCCAATATTCAGATTTTCTGCTCAAAAACATCTATTATTATTATAATTATGTTTAAAACAGCCGAGTATATATTTTTTTCAGATTTGTTTGATGAATAGAAAGTTCAGAAGAACAGCATTTATCTGAAATATAAATCTTTTTTTAACATTATAAATGTCTTTATCATCACTTTTGATCAATTTATGGCAACCTTGCTAAATAAAAGTATTAATTTCTATAATCCTAAAAAATATATATATATGTGTATGTGTATGTGGTATAATGTTACAAAAGCTTTTTTATTTCAGATAAATGCTGATCTTTGGATCTTTCTATTCATCAAACAATCCATACTCAACTGTTTTAGATATTGATGATAATGATAATATTAATGATAATGATAATAATAATCAGAAATGTTTCTCGAGCAGCAGATCAGCATATTATACTGATTTCTGAAGATCATGTGACACTGAAGACTGGAGGAATGATGCTGAAAATACAGCTGCGCATCACAGACATACATTACAGTTTAACAGAGATTCTCACATAAATCAGTTATTTTAAATAGTACAATATTTCACAATATTACTGCTTTTACTCTATTGCGGATCAAATAAATGCAGGCTTGGTGAGCAGAAGAGAATTCTTTAAAAAAAAACTTAAAAATCCTACTGCTCAAAAACTGGTCGTATCAAACGAAAGTGCTTTCAAACTCAGTGCTCACTTGTCTTTCTCTGTGTTTGTCTGTAGTTTTCCTGTGCCCAGGGCTCTTACGCGGCGTTTATCAGAGCGAGCATCTGTTCGAGTCGGACCACCAGTCGGGAGCTTGGTGCAAAGACCCCCTCCAGGCCTCGGATAAGATCTATTACATGCCCTGGACGCCGTATCGCACGGACACCCTCACCGAATACTCCAGCAAAGAGGATTTCATCGCAGGACGACCCACCACGACCTACAAGCTCCCCCATCGGGTCGACGGCACCGGGTTCGTCGTCTACGACGGAGCGCTGTTCTTCAACAAGGAGCGAACTAGGAATATCGTCAAGTTCGATTTACGCACTCGCATCAAGAGCGGCGAGGCTATCATCGCTAGCGCGAACTACCACGACACTTCGCCGTATCGCTGGGGAGGCAAGTCGGATATCGATTTGGCGGTGGACGAGAACGGTCTTTGGGTGATTTACGCCACGGAGCAAAACAACGGACAGATCGTGATCAGCCAGCTCAACCCATATACGTTACGTGTCGAGGGAACTTGGGATACGGCCTACGACAAACGCTCCGCTTCCAACGCCTTCATGATCTGTGGGATCCTGTACGTCGTCAAGACCGTCTACGAAGACGACGATAGCGAAGCCACCGGGAATAAAATCGACTACATCTACAACACGGAGCTGAGCAAAGACGGCTATCTGGACATCCCCTTCCCGAACTCGTACCAGTACATCGCTGCCGTGGATTACAATCCCAGAGACAATCTGCTCTATGTGTGGAATAACTACCACGTGGTCAAGTATACGCTGGATTTCGGAGTCCTGGACAACAGGCTAGGTAAGAGCCGGAGCGTTTTGAAAGCTATGATCGCTTTCTCAAAGTTTGCACACACAAAAAAAAACAAATTTCAAAAGGAAAATAGTAAGTGGATGCAACTTTGTTTAAGCCGTTTTGTTCATGCCTGATCGTCTATTTGACAAAGTCATAGTTCACAGCTTTGATGTAAACTTAAGATTACAAAACCCTTCCGTGTATATCAAAGATGCCCAAACTTTTCAATATGAAGGCCCAACAATCAGACGTGATTCACTGGCCAAAAGTAAATGTTGCATTCTATCCAACATTATATAAATGAATATTAATACATTTTAATGTTATATTAAAATGTATTTAAGTAAAAAAAACATCAGTGCACTCATTAAGTGATTCATGGGGTCTTTAAAGAAAATGAAGCCTATTTTTAAGATTAAGTTTTTTTTTTTTTTTTAAATAATACATGAAAATTAAGCACATTTTACACCCAATTACTGTCCAATGAGAACTAAAACATTATGTAAAATAATAATCTTAAATACATAACTTTAAATGTTTTACTTTTTTATTTATTTGTGCTACTTCATTTATTTTGTTGATTTATAAATACATGCATCATTTAGTTTTACTGTATTTCAATACAAATGTGACTATTATAGAAAAATAATAATATATATTTTAAAATAAAAACAATCTAATTATAATCACCGTGAACAGAAATGAAAGGGGAAAAATACATATTTGGGTGGAAATGTATATACAGTTTTATATTATTTTAAAGGAACGTCACAATGCAAAAAAAATCCTTTTACAAACCTTTCAGTCTTACAAATAACCTTTATTTCTGTTATGCAAAATACGGTCTTGTATTTCTTATGATGTTGGGTTGAAATATGACATATTTTAATTCTAGATTCACAGCCTCCTCCTTAAAGCACAGCTACTAATAACATTTGGTGAATGCGCGGGTGGAGCTGCTGATGGGAATGTTGTGGTTGTGATTTCGTGAAATGAGTTGTTTGGTGTCTGCGGGCGGCACACGGATCGAGTGAGCTTTGAGTTAGTGGTCGAGCAGAAAGTTTGGAATGTTCTCTTTAATTAGAAAGCATCGAGTGAAGTTAGTAGAGGGGAAGAAGTTCATGGCTACTTACTGAATGTCGGAATGTCGTCGGCTGGATCGGCGCTTTCGCCATTGAATTAAAAGCCTTTTAAATAAAGAAAACTTGTGTGAGAGACACTGTGGGAAAAACACTGTTACTGCTGTACAGTGATATGCAAGAGGTGTATTGGGGGTCATCGCTAAGTGAAAATAAAGTTAAATAATTTGCAAACATTTTTTTCATGGTCACCCTCAATGCCAGCCAAATTATATTATATACTATTATAACTATTAAAAAAAACCATTAAATAGAGAAAAGTAAATATTGCATTTCGTCAAACTGTATTTTAAATAATTACACAAGCATGTAAGTAATGTTTTAAAAAATGTAAATTATTTTTAATCAAATTCACCCCCCAATTATTTAAAACATATTCTAAAAAATATATATATGTATCAAAAGATATCCTTCAATGTCCACTAAAGGCGTTCAAACTCTAATTGTGAGTAGTGATATTTAATATGTCTTAGCCAGCAAGCTCTAACAAGAAGAGTGTTCTCTTAATGAAAGCTTTGTTTTCATTGACAGACAAATCTGTGTTCAGAGTCACACTTATGTGTGCCTGGTGACAGCAGCGGTTTGGACGGCATGCATTTCATTTCATTTTCCTGGTGTACTTGATCTGAAAGAGAAAGTTTTGGGTACAGTTGAATGGAAGTGTTTTTGACAGAGAGGTAACAGCTGTGGCCACTTCACATTTACACTCTCAGACTGTCATGAGCTGTCAGCACGCTAACTGCTGCTCTTCACCACTGCTTTCAGACAGAAATTGCACATGCTACTTATTTATTTATTATGTTTTTAATATTAGGCAGCATGTACACTGCACAGTGTTCAGCATCCAAATATGCTGGTATCACAATTTAAATGTATTAGTGTTGCCATTAGTGTGAACTGTTGTCTTCTACAGACAGTTTTCTGTGGAGCAATAGTTGAGGAGAATCTTGCTGAGCAAGTTAGCTACACTGTTTATAACTTTCTACCTGAATAACACATCCAGTTTAATGCCACAGACGTGCTTGCAGTGCATTTTCACGCTTGCATAGAGGATGTTTCTGTCGTGTGCATCTGTGCGTAATGGTGCATGTTTCTGTCTGGCAGGGTGGACATGAGGTGAAGTTGCCTTTATTAAGTGATGGTGTGATTTGAGATGCTCTCACATGCATTTATAGAGTCAGGAAATGACCCACTCACAGCATTCTCAAATCACACATGCAGAGAGAGCAGTGTGTGTGTGTGTGTGTGTGTGAGCACAACGCTCAACACCTGCGGCATGTTTCTCCTGGAATTAACCTTCATCTGAAGGTGACTCTTTGATGGGGTTCTGTTCATCACATTCTATTGCTGTTTCAAGACCTAGTGAGCATACATACTGTGTGCTTAAACACTCCCAAAATGCAAAGCTGCTTAATGAGATTTTAGGATTTGTTTTTAAAGATTCTATAAGGTTTTAGCCTTGGTGACATTATCAAGCGAAATGACTCGCAACAGTGTTGTTGTTCTGAATGTCAGCACGGCTATAAATACATGTGACCGAATCTTTGAGTCTTTGGGTTTGGTTAGGGGTTGGGTTTGAGGGGGGTTAAAGTTTCCCCCAAAGTAGCGCAATGACCATGTCCCATATAAAACCTCAAAATATGTAATTTCCATACCTAAAATACATATTTTACAGACACCGTTTTGCAGATTGATCAGAAACACAGCTAAAAGGCTTTTTACCAGTGGCCATCCTTCACAAAACTTAACATTTACCACAGTTATATCACAGGTAGAATGCAAAATGTTTTAATACAGGCATTTCAGTCAGATGTAATTTACGCAATATTTCAAACCTAAGTTTAACCAAAGGCTATAGAAAAGGGACTTTAGTTTAACCCACGATAGAAAATCAACCCGCCGCAACAGTTTAGAATCAGCCCAATTCTGTGCAAAAAAAAAGGGACCCTGGCAACCCTGCATCTAACACGAGCTGCATCCAAAGGGATTTAAATACTCCGCATATTGATAGCGGCTCCCTGATGCGCGAAAATTGTATTCAAATGTTTTAATACAGGCATTTCAGTCAGATGTAATTTACGCAATATTTCAAACCTAAGTTTAACCAAAGACTATAGAAAAGGGACTTTAGTTTAACCCACGATAGAAAATCAACCCGCCGCAACAGTTTAGAATCAGCCCAATTCTGTGCAAAAAAAAGGGACCCTGGCAACCCTGCATCTAACACGAGCTGCATCCAAAGGGATTTAAATACTCCGCATATTGATAGCGGCTCCCTGATGCACGAAAATTGTATTCAGCATTAGAACTTTTGCAGGAGCAGGCAGTTATGTTCAGAAATTGGGAGCGGGATTCATAAAACAGTCCCGTGCAGGGCTTTAATACAAAAGCGCACACAATTAATGGTGACTGTAGAAAGCAAAAGCCGAATCACGGACATTTTGGGGCATATTTTTAGGTCCAAAAAGAGGACATGTCCGGGGAAAAGAGGACTTATGGTCACCCTAGGTCTAGTAGTCTTCACAGTCAGCAGTGCCCGTCACAAGATCGCAAGCACATCATGTGTGCCATTTAGCACAGGGCCTCTAAATACATGTTTATTTTGTTATGCGATAATACAAGCTACTGGCAAAAAAAAATCAAATGAGGAAGATTACTGAGAAAAATGGATACATTTTTGTAATGAGAATTTGTGGGGGAAAGTGCTTAAATATTTTGAAAATAACGTCACAATGCAAAAAAAAAATCGTAATGATCCCGAAATAGGCTTCTGTTGATTTTTGGGTGAAATATGGCTTGGATAGGATCTCGACTCACCTATTTTATTCATACAGCATTGTACGTTTATTTTTAGGCCCTCTATATGTTTTAGGTCTCAGGCAGCGTTTGGCTGGAGGCTGGTTTTATCACTGCACACAGCTCCATTACTCACTGCTGAAAATCCCCTGGCTCGCGGGCACAAGTGTGTCGCACTTTATCACCCCCTCCCCGCGTACCCTCTCCAGCTTTAGTTCCTCTATAGAGGCAGTCAAGAGAGAGATACGCACTGTGCTTACAACATCTGTCCCTGTGCCCTGCTCCACTGGCCTTGTGTGTGTGTGTGTGTGTGTATGTGTGTGTGTGTGTTTTCAGTTCTGTCTCGTGTGTTTCTGCGTAGCTTCAGGAAATCTCTAAAAATAAGCATGATATAACAGCATTATCCTAGAATGTCTAAAATCACAAAATTTCATTATATTGGAATCTCTGAAATGAGCATCAGATAACAAAGTTTGCACAGGGTCATAATAATAATAATAATAAATTTTATTTATAATGCACTTTATATTCACACATAATCCCGAAAGTGCTACAGATTAAACACAAAAATAATTGTTAAGAATCAAAAGGGTCATAAGATCAGTGTCCAATAATGAAATCATCAGTAGACATTAAACTCAGCTTTAGAAAATCATCAGCTTCAAGTTGCAAAACTGGAACATGATCTTCAAAATCTGCATTGGACAGCACCGCCAACAACAAATGAGTATCAGAAAACAGAATCACATTGAACTGACTAAATTCAGCATCAGATATTAGACAGCAGCAACAACAAATCAGATAACAGTATCAGTGGGGAATATTCAAAATCAGCATCACGTAACAGAATCAGCATTAAATACATTAACTCAACATCAGATAGCAAAATCAGCATGGACTTATTTTTAAAGGCACCAGATAAGAAAAATCAGCACGAATGCCTCACAATCAGCATTAGACCACATTAACACTATTATGAATCTTCAAAATCAGCATCAGGTTACAGAATCACTTTGAATTGTGCATATTCAGCATCAGATAATATAATTACCTTGAAATCTCCAAAGTAAG